TCATTAACAGCAGCTGAGTTTAAGAAGGATTAACTGTGCTGCTGCTGTGTGTTGAGGGGCACTCTGCTTTAACACGTATGTGTTCCCACTTTCAATATAACAGAGAATAAAGTTGAGGCAGTTCATAAAGCCACCTGTATCTGTTACCATAACATCATTTCTACAGTTTCCCATGAAATAATTAGATGTACAAATATAAAACCTGCATTCTCTACCTATCTCTCCATAGACCATCACTATTCTCACTATAGTCTGGCAGTCTTTTTGGCTCCAGATATAATCACAGTGGCAAGCTTCCCCCCGCCACCCCCCTAACTAGTATTCTGCCATGCATGTATAAATAACAATTAGGGTGCCGCAATGCTAAATTTAGATATTATTTACAATAAATATTTGCTGTGAAAACATAAGAACCTGTTCCGAAAGACCTGGAAACAAAGCGTTTAGAAGTCATTCTAAAATTGTACATTCCACACCAAAACGTGTTTGTACAAATTACGATGCAGAGAAAGACAGCCCCCTAGTGGATTCTAGGCTGCATTTATTTTGAATAAAAATGATCTTTACATTTAAAGGGACACTATAGTCACCGGAACAACTTCAGCTTAAAGGACCACTATAGGCACCAAGACCACTTCAGCTTAAAGGACCACTCTAGGCACCCAGACCACTTCAGCTTAATGAAGTGGTCTGGGTGCCAGGTCCTTCTAGGGTTAACCCATTTTTTTATAAACATAGCAGTTTCAGAGAAACTGCTATGTTTATTAATGGGTTAAGCCTTCCCCTATTCCCTCTAGTGGCTGTCTCATTGGCAGCCACTAGAAACAGCTTGCGATGCTTCTCACTGTGATTTTCACAGTGAGAGCTCGCAAGCGTCCAGGAAAGCATTGTAAATGCTTTCCTATGCGACGAGGCTGAATCATACGCCCAGCTCTTGCAGCGCGTGCGCATTCAGCCAGGAAAGGATGGGAGGAGGAGAGGAGGCAGAGAGCTCCCCGCCCAGCGCTGGAAAAAGGTAAGTTTTTACCCCTTTCCCCTTTCCAGAGCCGGGCGGGAGGGGGTCCCTGAGGGTGGGGGCACCCTCAGGGCACTATAGTGCCAGGAAAACAAGTATGTTTTCCTGGCACTATAGTGGTCCTTTAATGAAGTGGTCTGGGTGCCTGGTCCAGCGAGGGTTAACCCTTTTTTTTATAAAGAGAAACTGCTATGTTTATAAATAGGTTAATCCAGCCTTGACAGCTGCTAGAGGCGCTTGCATGCTTCTCACTGTGAAAATCACAGTGAGAAGACGCAAGCATTCATAGGAAAGCATTATGAATGCTTTCATATGAGACTGGCTTAATGCGTGCCCAGCTCCTGCCGCGCATGCGCATTCAGCCCAAGTGGAGGAGAGGAGGCGAAGAGGAGGAGGAGAGCTCCCCGCCCAGCGCTGGAGAAAGAGGTAATTTAACCCCTTCCTCTCCCCAGAGCCCGGTGGATGGGGGTCCCTGAGGGTGGGGGCAAATCAGGGCACTATAGTGCCAGGAAAACGAGTATGTTTTCCTGGCATTATAGTGGTCCTTTAATGGGGTTGTTTAGGTGAGTACAATAGCTCCCTGCAGACTTTTTCATGTAAACACTGTATTTTCAGTGGCTTTTTTGCTTTTATATGTTGACTATAGTGATCCTTTAATAGTTGGGGCTGGAAATATATCTTTAGCAGGGATAATAATGTAACCCTTTGATGATTAGACATCTTTCCAGCCGGCGTAGCAAGGTGGTGTTTTATTCTGTTCTTTTTGCTACGCAATAAGGTTCAGTGTAAAATAGCGATGTTTAAGCTCTAGAGGAGGCCCTGACTCTAAATATAATACATTTTAATTTACTATAATTTATCAGTGTGGATTATTGGCAGATAAGTTAAGAATAATAAATGGTCTTACTTACTTTCATTGCAATCTTCCTCCTCTCTTCTCACATATTTCTTTTATATTCCCCTCTTACTCTCATTAATTTTCTTCATTTACCCCATATATTTGTCTTGCAGTATTTTTCAATTTTTGTAACCCCTTTTACCGCTCTTTTTAATTGGGCTTCCCAATGTTCTTTATTGCTCCATCTATCACCCATCCTTTTATACTGCTCTCCTAATCCGTCTTCCCATTTCTGACATTAGTTCACATATATCATATACATATACTCCCTCTCTCTCTTTTCCACGGCCCTCCTTAACTCATTCCCCATCTTTCCACTGCCCTCTTTAACTCTTTCCCTATCTTTCCACTGTCTTCCTTAACAGATTCCCTCTCTTTCCACTACTCTCCTTAACTCATTCCCTATCTTTCCACTGCCCTCCTTAACACATTCCCTGTCTTTCCACTATTCTCCTTAACTCTTTCCCTATTGTTCCACTGTCCTCCTTAACTCATTCCCTATCTTTCCATTGCTCTCCTTAACGCATTCCCTATCTTTCCACTACTCTCCTTAACTAATTCCCTTTTTTCCACTGCTCTCATTAACTCATTCCCTATCTTTCCACTGCTCTCCTTAACTCATTCCCTATCTTTCCACTGTTCTCCTTAACACGTTCCCTGTCTTTCCATTGCTCTCGTTAACACATTCCCTGTCTTTCCACTATTCTCCTTAACTCATTCCCTATCTTTCCACTGCCCTCCTTAACACATTCCTTATCTTTTCACTACTCTCCATAACTCATTCCCTACCTTTGCACTACTCTCCTTAAGTATTTCCCTATCTTTCCACTACTCTCCTTAACTCGTTCCCCATCTTTCCACTACTCTCCTTAACTCATTCCCTATCTTTCCACTGCTCCCCTTAACATATTCCCTATCTTTCCATTACTCTCCTGAACTCGTTCCCCATCTTTCCACTGCTCTCCTTAACTCATCCCTATCTTTCCACTGTTCTCCTTATGCATTATTGTCCTCCTCATCACTCTGTTCCACTATTTTTATATCCTCTCCTTTTTCTTTACCATTGATTTCACCATAGCTTTAACATGAAGACACTCCATGTTTTCTCATTCTTTCCTCCCAAATTTGTTCATAGTTCCTTGTCTTTTCTATGCCATCTCTCATTCTTTCCCTCTGCTTTCCTTATTTCCTTCCTCCTGATTTCCTTTGTTCTCTACATCAGTGGTTTTCAACCAGTGTTGTATCTCAAGCCACCTCAATTTATGCCATGACACATTGAATCCAGGCCTGTAATAGGTCCTCAAAGGGTTACTCCAACCACCATGTCCACTTTTGTGATGGTAGGAAACTGCATATGCAAAGTTTCAGCTTGAAACGCTGCAGATACAGAGTACAGTAATCTGCACTTCTATGCCGGGAGCTAGTTGCACCACCAGCACACGTGACAGGAACTCGTGAGTTCCTGGCTGCCAATTCTGTGCACAAATTACATCTGTTATCAAACATAATGAGCTTTAGTGTCCTCTTCCACTATGCACTCCCCTGTCTCCCTCCATGAGAGGGTCACCAGTGATGTTGGGTGGGTTGTGGAACCAGCTAGGGGATTATCTGGATTCCAGGTAGGTTTCAAGCTTCTTTTGCAGGTTTATGGGGGAAGACCTCATGAATAATGACCAGTATTGCATTTTAAAACAAAGATGATTTTTTTTGGTTCGCTTTTAATAAAATGGTTTGAGTAACACTTGGAAATATGATTTTTAACAAGTATCAGTATTAATATTGTAATTCTTATTTGAGAATGAATAAAATAGATAGATTTAGGGAGAAATATGCATATCTCTCTAGCAAAGATTAAAATATACGTGACATTTCTAAACTGCTGATAAAGTATGTGAGTCCAAAACCAGTTGGGTACTCTACATTACTTTTTTTTTTTTTTTTTTGTGCTCCACCTATCTCTTATTCAATGCACACCTCCTTATTTCCCACTGCTCTCGTTAAGGCTCTGGTTTCTTCTTTTACATTGTTCTTCCTTCTTTTCCCCACAGTTGTCACATGGCTTCTCCTTTCTCCATTCTTCCCACCAAATTCCATGTTCTATTCATTGTATTCTTTTCCATGCTCTCCTCGTTTTACTTCCTTCAACTTTCCATATTCCACTTCTCTTAGACGGTTTCTCTTCAAAACGGTCTCTTCCACTGCTCAAGAAAACAGACTATGGTCCCTGACCTGGAATTGAGTCTGTTTTGAGGACGCATGTATATATGGGCCATTCCTACAGCTTTTCTCCCTGGTTTGGGTTTGCCACTACTGCAAAGTTAAGATACCTTTGGTTTAAAATGAGATTTTTTTCAGACTTTCGATGACATTATCTTCTGTTTGTGGAACTTCACCCATTTATATAATCACAGCATGCAAATTAGGAAAGTGCAAAAACTGACCAGTTGCATCTGTATATCTGTGCTTTTCCATAGTTTGGAAAGTTGTGATTGCATTGTATATTTGATGCAGTATTGTGTTTGTTTTTCAAGTTATGTATGTTTGTTTATATTTTTCCACATGCTTAAGGACAAGGCTGCAAAGGCTAGTCTTTGTTAAAAAAAAATTGTGTGTTAGTTCTTTTGGGAACTGTGTGTCCTGGTTGGTTTATTCAAGGATCCCAGTAACAGCCTTTGGATCTGTTGACTGGCTTTTTGGTCCCTGATTCCAAGGACAAGTTAATAAAGAGCTAGACCTGAGACCCATAAGTGCCTTTGTAGCACTAGCCTAGTAGTAGGCAGAGGTGTTACCTGCCTGGGAGAAAAACTGAAAAGGCAAAGGCACAGGGGATGATACCTGCCTGGAAGGAGAACACTGCAGCCTGTTCTGGTTGACCAGGTACCAGAGAAGAAGCTGACCTGGCGTAGGTACTCAGTCGGGGTATGGGAGCTCCTTTAAAGGGACAGACACACGTCACCCAGACCACTTCAATGAGATGAAATTGTCTGGTTGTCCCTTTAAAAGTTATTTGTTTAGGTTTATCTACCAGAGATTGAATCTTTGGTGACATAAAAAAAAGAATGTAATGAAATAAATGTAAAAAATGAATTCTTGGGAAACATCATTTATTTTACCATCTTAACAATACAAATAAACTCATCGTTTGGAAACACCACATAATCCACAATTAAATCAGTGCAAACATTATAACAAGAGTATGTTTGATGCAATATGTCTGATGTTACATTTGTGTATTCATACTTTTCAACAAGTTCCAGAGATGCTTGTATTTCAGCAATTCTTAAGGAGTGCAGTTCAATGTTAACAATAAAAATGCAAAACAAGAGACTTTTGCTGCTTGTTTAAGAATAAAGTGCAAGCTCTTTGACCATATCTTTGAGGATGATATATGAGGCACTGACAGATGTAACCCTCTTTAACCCCTTAAGGACCAAACTTCTGGGATAAAAGGGAATCATGACATGTCACACATGTCATGTGTCCTTAAGGGGTTAAAGGACCACTACAGTGCCAGGAAAACAAACTTGTTTTCCTGGCTCTATAGGATCTTTAGGTGTCCCCCCCCCTCAGGGTCCCACTCCCACTGGGCTGAAGGGGTTATACACTTGCCTTTCTCCAGCGCCAGGCTCCCTTGGTGATTTTCACAGTGAGAAGCGCAGAAGCGCCTCTAGCGGCTGTCAGTGAGACAGCCACTAGAGGCTGGATTAACCCTAGTGTAAACATAGCATTTTCTCTGAAACTGCTATGTTTACAGCTGCAGGGTTAACACTAGAGGGACCTGGCACCCAGCCCACTTCATTGAGCTGAAGTCGTCTGGGTGCCTAAAGTGGTCCTTAAATACTAAGCTTGCTTTTCTGCCGGAGAGCTTTGCACAGTCCTCTCACACTGCTTTTTTGTTCTGCAGATGACAGTGTTCTAAACAGACTAATTGTTATACGGAATGTAAAGATTTAGCTATACTCTCAACTACGTTTGCTAAACTGTGTATACTCTGTATGAAAGATGTTTGAATATATTAGAACCTCACACGCAAACTGAAATTACTGTTCCCTGAGTAAAGCTTAAACAATAAACTATATCTTTAGGCTTTGTAGACATATTGGTATGAATACTGTCTTTAGTTTGAGCTTTCACTATCACTTTAAGATAACAAGCGGACAACATCTTCCAATAAACTGCTTTTGTTGTTCATCGCCACAATTACTTTCTTGCACTCATACTCCAATTTGTTTAATAATGCAAAAACAACTATTTATTTATACTTTAGCCAACTCAAACTTGGGCCTTTGGATCAGTAACTTAAAGAGACACTCTAAACACTAAAATCATTTCATCTTAATTAAGTAATGTTGGGGTGTTGATGCAGCTCGTGCAGCCTTGCAGATGAAACCAGTGCCATTTCTTAGAAATGACACGGTTTACATATTGCAATTCACATGTTCTAGTGGCTGTCATTTAGTCAGCTGTTAGGGCATTGGACTAAACTGATAATCTATTTTATGTACAGTGTTCGCATGCAAATTGTGCTGACAACAATGGGTTGGAACACAGCGATTGCCATACATGTGCTGCTTATGTCTACCTTGGCTCGATATGAGAAGCATTTGATTGGAAAAAAAAGTCCTCTTAATGACTCCAGCAAGGGAGGGGGATCGGCTGCAGTAATGTCTGCCTGGGCTCTAGATTGCAGGTCAGTTTAAGGCTGATTTTCATTTTTATTTTTTAATAAAAAAAGGGGGAGGCATTAATGTAAAGTTATAAAGAAACCCAGGGGACTTAAAAAAAAAAAAAAAAGGTTTTTCTTTTAGTGCATTCCTTTAAATGCCATGACGGATACATAGTGCATAATTACAGTAAGTGACATACAAGATTGCATCACATAGCATCTCAATGCCTCTTGTATCATATATAACCATTGATATTTTATTACTCCTGAAATAATGGCTTGCATTAGAAACTGTGCAAAATACTATAAATATGGCTTCATTTGCTAAACTCATTCATTCTTTCTACCATCGTCACGTGGCACGGGTATGATCTGAAGTTCTTTGGCAATTCTCTGTCCGATGTCCTTGCAACAGGCAGCTATCACTCTACAAGACATTAAGTCAAAAGGGCCTCCTGCAAAGAGTTAAAAAAAAAAAAAAGATTTCGAAAAAAAATTAATAAAAAAATTATAAATGTATGTCAATTTTTCATATAACTGTACATGGTTTGTCACACAACGATAACATTTTAGCAAGTGTGATATGACTATCTGGTGGAATTTCTGTTCGTTAGTTCTTCATGACAAGTCAACAACTTTATTTAACCACACAAGCATTGGATATGTATAGATTGTTATCCTTTGATGATAATGGTTTGGGTAAAATCCAATATATAATGACAATCTCTGCATGTCAGTAAAAGTTGGATTTAGTAAAAGTATATTTAAAAAAAAATAGCTGGTGTAAGAGTGCCACCTAGTGGTTTACATTATTTACCAATCCTAGCTAACTGTGTTCATACATTTGTTTGCAAACATTTGATATGATGCTCAGTCTGACTTAAGCCTGACAAATCTAACTGACAAATATCTGTAGAGTAGGTTTGGAAATGGGTTTAGCATTTTCACGGCCCATTGCAAGAAAACGTTTTTCCACATTTACACCTGGGTCTGTGAAGGAGTCAGAACTGGAGAAGTAAGATAATATAAGGGGATTAACTTTGTGCTGTAAATGATTCTGTAATGCACCAACATGAGAAGTATATGTGTGATGTGTTGGAACCTGGTAATTCCACACACTTCCTCCTGTTCTGGTTCTCTCAAGGACTTGGGCTCTCTTCTTGGGGGGGAGGTAGACAACTTAAAGCAAGGTCAACAAAAGCTAGTGGCCCATGGCATAGCCCCTGCTTGCTCTCTCTAAGGGCAGACCTGTACTAGTTTATGCATCGGTGCAGTGTGGATCCAGCCAACATAAAAGTAGATGTGGAACCAGCTAACAAATGTAAATGTGGATTTAGCTAACATAAAGGTAAATGCATTTTTCAAAAGGATTCAGTTTTATAATTCTACAAACCTTTTGCATCCAGGACAACACCTCCTGCTTCAGTAACAATGACAGAAGCTGCTGCCATGTCCCAACAGTGGATTCCCATCTCATAGTAAGCATCGGCTCCTCCTGAAGCTACAAGGCACATGTTAACAGCTGCTGTGCCCACCGCTCTGATCCTGCAGAACATACAAAAATAGCAAGACTCGATCGTATAGGTTGAGTCAAAAAGCAGGAACCACCCAAATGATGAGATTACACCAACACTAAACAAATACTGTACAACATTCACGACATTTAACCCAGTGTTTTAACATGTTCAAGCAAAAAACAAATGAAGGATAACCGCACCGAAACGCAAAATATATCGTCCGTGCCCCATACAGCAGAGCTCTTCAGTAGCTCTACAAATTGTGAGTTATTTCTTGGCACCCACATTATACACCAACCTTTACATTATAAATTGCACTATGATTTATCTTTTTCTCCTCTTTTCTATAAAGATACGCATTGCTGTAAATTAAGGAAAAGCATCTATCCAATTTATCTTTACCTGTGACCTTATAGAGTTATAATTTTACCCTAAAAGCTTAAGCTACTCACATTGCCCTCTTTAGATGAGGTTAGCCTCCAATTATATTTTGCTTGTCCTATATCGTTGCAAGGTAGTTCAAATACTTGCATGGTTAACTGCTGCCTGATCCTATTATAGTGAGTGCCTAAACCATTCTTTTTTAATGTATTTAGTCAGTAAAATAAGTAACAGATAACAAAAAAAACAACAGTTAGCTACATTCATTCAGCAGTTTGACAATGCTGGAATAAGAAAAAAATATATATAAACTAGACATCTATATTTCTCAGTTTTTTAAAGGAACACTCCAAATATTGGCTATAGTTTTGGGAGTGCCTTGCTGCTGTCCCACAGTAAGATGCCATACTGTTGTTGTACAGTTTGGCAACTTTCCTGGGTCCTACATACTGCCTGTAATGTTGTAGGGACCACACACAGTCTTCTCCAGCAGGATCATGAAATAACGGGCTGCTTGTAATTTCTGTAGTGAGTTCTGTCCAGCCCAGGAAATGATTCAGGCAACTAAGATGCTCACTGAATTCTACATCTAGCAATTCTGGGCTTATTCTAGCAATGCTGGGTTTGTTCAAGTGAACACAGCAAAGGTTTATAGGAGTTGTAGCTTAGATTTCTTCCTCTAATGTACAAAGGTATGAGCTAATCAACAACCACAAACTGTGACATCCACTACAATGTTATTGGAGCAAAATAGAAAACTTTGAAGTCTGGAAGGAAAAAGCACCAAGTCCACTGTGTCTAACATGCGCTGGTGCCTAAAATGCTCCTTTAACTACACTGCCTTTGGAAAGCTTCGGTCACATGAGATGTACAAAAATTCTATATAAGGAAAACAGGTATTATGGAGAACAATAACAAATATGTGTGTAAAGAATACAAAAAATTATAATGATCTAAAAGTCAGATAGATTTTATCTGATGGCATTTACCGCTATAAACCTTGAATTTTGAAGGAATACCTCAATATGTTCCACAGAGTTTATTTTGACACATGTCTCTGATTGAAATATTCAAATTTCTCTGTCTCCTGATGGCCTGCATTCTGGCATTATCAGAAAGAGTCAGAATTCCTGCAAAGTTTGTTAATTAGAACCCGATTTAAAAGGTGGCAGTTTGCTTACTACCCTCTTATCTTTTGCTCTCTTTTCAAATCCAGTATGTTAAATTACAAAGCCACAAAAACAAACAAAACAAAACAAAACACTTGTGTCGCTGTCAAACTCATTTTCCTTCCACTATAGCGTTATTAGGTCCCACCCCTCCCTCGGGGCCCCCCTTCCGCTAGGTTGAAGGGGATAAAACCCCTTCAACCACTTACCTTAATCCAGCGCCGGTGATCTCTCCTCCCCCTTCCGACGTCAGCTCCGAATGCGCATGCGCGGCAAGAGCCACGCGCGCATTCAAACCGCCCATAGGAAAGCATTACTTTCCTATGGACATCAGCATCATCTCAGTGTGATTTTTACTGAGAATCGCAGCAGCGGCCTTTAGTGGCTACCAGGGAGACGGCTACTAGAGGCTGGATTAACCCGCAATGAAAACATTTCAGTTTCTCTGAAAATGCTATGTTTTTAGCTGCAGGGTTAAAACCAGGGGGACCTGGCACCCAGACCACTTCATTGAGTTGAAGTGTTCTGGGTGCCTATAGTAGTCCTTTAAGGACTGTGTTGTATGGAAGGAGTAAATACTATATATGTTATTACACAATATGATTTTGAAGATGTTTAATTCTAATTGTTGACAATAACACTTACCCATGAATTGGAATACACAAAAGTCTCTCCATGTTAGATAATATCATTTTAACAACCTCTGGGTTCCGATTTGACCCAAGTTCTGTGACAATCATGGACTGTGTTATATCTGACGGGTGGAAAAAAAAACAGGTGTAAAAGAGAAAAAAAATGATGGAGTTAAAAAGAGAACAATCGAGAAAGAAATACAAAAAGAGGGGTAAACACTGCATTAGACCTGGATTAGAGAAATACAATTCTAGTTTCTACTGCACCTCGGTTTACTGGCTGTATTGCGTAAAAAAACAGCAAGCAAACTGGAGAAATTCCCAGAGTTTGTGAGCATAGATGCCACAGACAGAACTTGCTTGCCAAGCACATGGCTAGTCAGGATGACGCCAGATCCAAGGTGAATTCAAGAGGTTAGAGGATGGAAAAAGGGAACAGGACTAAGGACATGTTCTGATGAAACATTGACTGCAACAATAGCTTCTTACCATTACAGTTTTGCAGAGACATTGTGAAATTTGTTTTGCTTTGCAAAGCACTAAAAAAAAATAAACACCCTACAAAGCCTTGCTTACTATCCTCTACCAGATATGCATTATATCCTAATTATATTCCTTGGAATTAAGTGCCATTAGTCTAGTTCTAATCATCTTTATTCTAATACGCTCATGTCATTTTTTTTCTAAATGGGCTAAATCATATTATATGCAAGACTGTAACTTGATCTACTGCTCATTAAAACGTTCATGTAATCACTGACATAACCCAGTGACACCAGTAAAATGTGATTCTATATAACTCAAAATATACCTGCAGCCACTGAATAAAACCACGTGAAATATCCTGATATTTGCACTGAACACTCGCTTTTCTTTTTTCGTGTCGAACATCATTTAATTGCATCTTTGTGTGTCTGTAATTACCGTATGTAATGGAACTCATTATCACAGGGAAATTGCTTCCTCAACAAATAAGGTCAGTGAGGGAAATTACGGTTTAAAATGATAGCTGTCCCAACCACCCATGACAACTGGAGACTTATACAAATATTGAGAGTTGATAACCCAAACCATTAATGGACAGTAAAAAAGGGGTCACGTCTCAATAAACAAACAGCTAAAACAATGTACAGGTTTTCTGCAAATAGATTTCTCTGTTGGTTTACATTATTGAGCTTTTATCAGGATGAGCACATCTTTCGGCTCCTCTGAATAGTCTATAATTGAAAGCATTTTCTTGCACGTACCAACACATCTTACTATAATTTAGTGCCAGCTCTGTAATCTCCTAGGCAACAGTGGGGATGTAGTCATTAGCACACAAAGAAACATGTTTGGTTGCTATACACGCTGTTAGATGCGCATGGTACTTTATTTTGTACGGTTTATGTTTACTATATAATGAATCATCCACTGAACCATGAGCTTGGAGATATTTTAGTGAGTTGAGCATCCCAACACAGGGATTAAATAAATAAACTATACTCAATGTTCCATATGTTTTTAATTATATTCGTTATCAATGAAAGATCACTGCATGCTCACTTGAAAGTGTGCATCGGCAATACAGAGGACCAGGACTGGTCTTTGTGTTCCATTGTATTAATTGTGGATCACATAACATACACATGATATCTATTCAGTAAAATTAGTTTTGGTTGTTTTAAATTCCTAAAACCAGATGGAAACGGAGTTAAACTGCTGTTTAAAAAGACTCTCTAAGCACTACAACCAGCTATTCTACTTGAGTATGGTTTGGGGGCAAGGGGCTCCCTAATTCAGTCTCCATCCATCCAATTATTGTAACTAGAGTGATATGCCAAAGTAAAGGCAACTACATGTTTCCCCCCACACAACCTGTGACATCACAGAGGGAAGTTAAGCATCCCTCTGAAAGAAGGAGATTTTTTCCATGGTATATCCACACATGGTATGTGTACACTGCCCAAGTCTTAAATGTATGAGATCCCTACAATGTTTATACGGCGACATTCAAGTGCAAGGCTGAAGGTAGCTGTGTTTATCAAAAACCATGAATAAATGAAGTTGGTAAGCTAATAGAAGTTGCAGAGCAGTTTTATTCTTGTCTTTTCAAACCACTAGGGAGACCTAAACAACATACCCCATAAACCCCCGCTAAGAATAATTTACTGGGTATAATCAGTACTAAGGAATTTTAATCAATTCCTGGTCTGTAATGAAATTTTGAAGCAACAGAGGGACATTCTGAAATGAGAGCTTTTAGATCTTATCTTATTTAACCCCATAAGGACCGGCCTGTTTTTGCGATGTTGTACGTTAAGGACCAGAGCAGTTTTGACACTTTTGTGGTGTTTGTGTTTCCTCTCTCTCATTTACTGTTCCCATACAAGTTATATATTGTTTTTTTCAGGACAAGAAGGGCTTTCTTTACATACCATTATTTGTATCATGTCATATATTTGGTGAAAAATTAAAAAAAAAAAAACATGTTTTTGGACTTTTACTTGAAAAATCTTTTACTTATCAACAAAAGCTAATTAAAAAAACTGCTAAATAGATTCAAAATGTTGTCCCAAGTTTAAAAACACCCAGTGTTTACATGCTTTATTTTGCAAGTTATAGAGCTATAAATACAAGTAGGGAATTGCTGTTTCTATATATATATATATATATATATATATATATATTTAAAATTTATCAATAGTGACATTGTAACACCGTTATCTGTCATAAATCCCCGAATCACACATCACATGTACATTTTTTTTTTTAAAGTAGACAACCCAGGGTATTCAATATGGGGTATGTCCAGTCTTTTTTAGTAGCCACCTAGTCACAAACACTGGCCAAAATTAGCATTTATATTTGTTTGTGTGTTAAAAATGCAAAAAACGCTAACTTTGGCCAGTGTTTGTGACTAAGTGGCTACTAAAAAAGGCTGAACATACCCCATTTGCAATACCTTGGGTTGTCTTCTTTTGCAAATGGTATGCCATCATGGGGGTAATTCTCATTCCTGAGCTACCATACGCTCTCAAAGGCAACCTAACCAATCTGACAAATTTCAATAAAAAAAAAAAAAAAAGTTAAATCAAGCCTTATATTTGACCCTGTAACTTTCACAAACACTATAAAACCTCTACATGTGGGGTACTGTTATACTCAGGAGACTTCGCTGAACACAAATATTAGTGTATCAGAACAGTAAAATGTATCACAGCAATAATATCATCAGTGAAAGTGCCGTTTGTGTGTGAAAAATGCAAAAAACATCACTTTCAATGTTTTACTGTTTTGAAACACTAATATTTGTGTTCAGCGAAGTCTCCCGAGTAAAACAGTACCCCCATGTACAGGTTTTAGGGTGTCATAGAAAGTTATAGGGTTAAACACAGTGCTAGCAAATTAAATTATCTGGACTTTCGGCCTGGGTTGGCAGGCAGGTCCCTCAAATTGCAATCATTAAAATTACTTAATTTGGTAAAAATATTACATAAATATGCACGTAGAATTTTAATATATATACATATTTATATATTTGATGTCTACGTGTATATTTATAAAATTATGTATATGGACATATGTATATTTCGTATTATTTTTATTTATTTATACATAGATATATATATATTATTACATTCTAAGTGTATTTTGATATAATTTTATATATCAAAATACTGTTAGAATAAATTTTTTTTTAATTATTAAAAATTATTTTTACGTTTTGTTATTTATTTTTATTAACATATTTAGAATTTATAATAGTATATATATATACACAATATATATATAGTTATTATATATATTGTATATATACACGTGTATAATTTAATTATATGTGTATTTTTATATTAATATATGGATATATAAATATAAAAACACACTTAGTATGATATTATATATATATATATATATACAGGGAGTGCAGAATTATTAGGCAAGTTGTATTTTTGAGGATTAATTTTATTATTGAACAACAACCATGTTCTCAATGAACCCAAAAAACTCATTAATATCAAAGCTGAATATTTTTGGAAGTAGTTTTTAGTTTGTTTTTAGTTTTAGCTATGTTAGGGGGATATCTGTGTGTGCAGGTGACTATTACTGTGCATAATTATTAGGCAACTTAACAAAAAACAAATATATACCCATTTCAATTATTTATTATTACCAGTGAAACCAATATAACATCTCAACATTCACAAATATACATTTCTGACATTCAAAAACAAAACAAAAACAAATCAGTGACCAATATAGCCACCTTTCTTTGCAAGGACACTCAAAAGCCTGCCATCCATGGATTCTGTCAGTGTTTTGATCTGTTCACCATCAACATTGCGTGCAGCAGCAACCACAGCCTCCCAGACACTGTTCAGAGAGGTGTACTGTTTTCCCTCCTTGTAAATCTCACATTTGATGATGGACCACAGGTTCTCAATGGGGTTCAGATCAGGTGAACAAGGAGGCCATGTCATTAGATTTTCTTCTTTTATACCCTTTCTTGCCAGCCACGCTGTGGAGTACTTGGACGCGTGTGATGGAGCATTGTCCTGCATGAAAATCATGTTTTTCTTGAAGGATGCAGACTTCTTCCTGTACCACTGCTTGAAGAAGGTGTCTTCCAGGAACTGGCAGTAGGACTGGGAGTTGAGCTTGACTCCATCCTCAACCCGAAAAGGCCCCACAAGCTCATCTTTGATGATACCAGCCCAAACCAGTACTCCACCTCCACCTTGCTGGCGTCTGAGTCAGACTGGAGCTCTCTGCCCTTTACCAATCCAGCCACGGGCCCATCCATCTGGCCCATCAAGACTCACTCTCATTTCATCAGTCCATAAAACCTTAGAAAAATCAGTCTTGAGATATTTCTTGGCCCAGTCTTGACGTTTCAGCTTGTGTGTCTTGTTCAGTGGTGGTCGTCTTTCAGCCTTTCTTACCTTGGCCATGTCTCTGAGTATTGCACACCTTGTGCTTTTGGGCACTCCAGTGATGTTGCAGCTCTGAAATATGGCCAAACTGGTGGCAAGTGGCATCGTGGCAGCTGCACGCTTGACTTTTCTCAGTTCATGGGCAGTTATTTTGCGCCTTGGTTTTTCCACACGCTTCTTGCGACCCTGTTGACTATTTTGAATGAAACGCTTGATTGTTCGATGATCACGCTTCAGAAGCTTTGCAATTTTAAGAGTGCTGCATCCCTCTGCAAGATATCTCACTATTTTTGACTTTTCTGAGCCTGTCAAGTCCTTCTTTTGACCCATTTTGCCAAAGGAAAGGAAGTTGCCTAATAATTATGCACACCTGATATAGGGTGTTGATGTCATTAGACCACACCCCTTCTCATTACAGAGATGCACATCACCTAATATGCTTAATTGGTAGTAGGCTTTCGAGCCTATACAGCTTGGAGTAAGACAACATGCATAAAGAGGATGATGTGGTCAAAATACTCATTTGCCTAATAATTCTGCACTCCCTGTATATATATATATATTTATTATATATATATAGATATAATACATGATTTTTTTTTGTAACTTTATTTTAGGATTTTCCACTTGCAGGGAGACTGCCTGTCAGCACAGACAGTCCCTCTGCAGGCAAATACACAGGCACCTATTGCGGTCATGTGATCGAGCGATCCCGTGACCGCGGGGTCCTGATCTGCCGCTTGGAGACTGCCTGGGCAGACAGGCAGTCCCCCTGGACCGGGAGGAGCATTGATCGCCGTCGGTCCCCAAGGGGATGTTTCCGATGACGGTCCTGAACCGTCATCGGTCGTCAAGGGGTTAAATTTATGTTAGCATTGTTTTTAATGTGCTATTTCAAGAGTTTACTAACAGGGAGCTTAAAGCAGCACGGTCACGCCAAACTTACCTGTCTCCTATTTTTTCCTCTTCTCTTCCTATCTCTGAATCTGTTCTTCTTTTCATTATTTCAGATCTAGTTTTCTTTAAAACATAAGACAAAGTATGGATTACTTTGTCTTATGTATTTTTCCTATGCTTGACTTTCGTTGACCATAGGAAGAGCTTAAGACAGCTCCATTTCCTGTGTCAAGGAGCACAGAGATTATTGTGTAAAAACTTTCTCTGACACAGGAAATGGAGCCGACTTAAACTCCTCCTGTGCTCAAAGAGAGTCAAGCGTAGAAAATATACATATGACAAAGTAGTCCATATCTTATCTTACATTTGAAAGAAAACTAGATCAGATAGGGAGAAAAGAAGAACAGATTCTGAGAGAGGAAGAAAAGAGGAAACAATAGGAGAATGGTAAGTTTGACAATGCCGTTATAACTCTGGTATGGAGCGCCCCAGCAAGTAAGATGAATTCAGTAGATTATGTTTATCGACTTAAGGCAAGAGTTATCATATAATTACCTTTCTGTCCGGATACTTTCAATTTCTGCCCATTACAAAATGAGCCCTTTCCCCTTCTGCCAGTATACATTTTGTCTTCAACACAGCTATATACAACTCCAAATTCAACCTGCATGATAATAAAAACAGAAGCATCAACCAGAATCACTTCAATGTATATTTACAACAAAATGGTAATTGTATAGTACTTTTTTACTACATACATGTGCCTACATATGTTTATACCCTTATGAGTGAATGGCCTTCACACTACAACAATAAACTAAAATATCTACACGCTTTAACCTTTCCAGGATAAAACTTACCAGGAAAGGTTAAAGGATCTTAACATTTATAGCTTGGATGAAAGACGAGACAGGGGGAAAATGATAGAAACATTTAAATATATAAAGGGAATCGACACAGTAAAGGAGGAGACTATATTTAAAAGAAAAAAAACTACCACAACAGGACATAGTCTTAAATTAGAGGGGCAAAGGTTTAAAAATAATATCAGGAAGTATTTACTGAGAGGGTAGTGGATGCATGGAATAGCCTTCCAGCTGAAGTGGTAGAGGTTAACACAGTAAAGGAGTTTAAGCATGCTTGGGATAGACATAAGGCTCTGCTAACCTAAGATAAGACCAAGGACTAATGGAAGTATTTAGAAAATTGGGCAGACAAGATGGACCAAATGGTTCTTATCTGCTGTCACATTCTATGTTTCTATGTAAGTTTAATATACACTTATTTATTCACTGAACAGAAATTTTTAAGTTTGCATTTTTGAAAAGATAATTTGCAAAGAATTTCCACTTTGGCTATGACAGTTTGGCTATTCTAGTATGAATTTCTTTATTAAACTCACATATATATTATACATGGAAGAGTTTAAATACATACTCAGAAAAATAGATTTTCTCTGGCACTGAATTTAGGGCCTCCACTGAGATAGCTAGTAATTATGTGGGCGTACTTGAATACTGGAGGTGAGATGCAGAGGGGTTTAGAATTGCTTTTCTAAGCCATGGAAATTTAACACATACTTGAACAGAAATGTAACAGTTACAGATTAGAGCAAATCGGATGTTTCATTTCAGTTAGTGAATATTACTGACCTGCTACAAAATTAAGGCCCCAATTTAATATTTTGAATAAGCTTTTAAAATGCTTTTTTTTCAAAATATTAGAATTTAAAAAAAAAATACATCAAATATAAATATATATATATATAAAAATATCAAAATGTTAAAATATTTTTTCAAAATACTAATTTTAAAAGTAAAGATTTTTAGCTGTGAAGACGATATATAACACACTAGACAAATGTAGCTCTGAAGATCACATATAGTGCAACCATACAAAACCTACTAGTAGTTTTCATTAAAGAAATCTCAAATGTAGCAAATTGAAATCAAGAATGCCCAAAATTGGGGGCGGAGCTTAGCAGCAGAGCTGAGCGGTTGTGCCTAGCTCCTGCACAAAACGACACAAATTGGGGGTGAAAACCCCCCAAAACTGGCACAAAGCACACCAAAGTGGAGCTAGCAAGACGGGGACATCCGGGTGAACCTTCTGACACCAGAACCAAACGGCTGACCCACCGGAACCCTGCAAACCTGAGGCCCACCGGAGATCGCGCTATGGAGAGACGGCTGCTCTCCAGGTGGACTGACCTAGGTAGGGGTCCCTCGGAGCTCTCACCTCCTAGGACCCCCCCCCTCTCTGGACTGACGGGGGTCATCTCGGTCCACAGAGTGAGCCTGGACCTTCTCACTGACCTCCCGGTGAGGGGCATTGGCTGAAAAAAACGACAGCACTACAGGAGACTTCCCCCAGCCATACCTAATTCTTTGAACTTCACGATTTATATTTTCTTTTTGATTTGTTCTCTCATATTTTTTTTATACACAACTCGACTAATGACCAGATAGGTCCACATAGGACCACTCCAAGGCACATAACACAGCACAACATACCTGACTACAGTTTAGGAACCACACACACACACACACCGCACCAGCTGTAGCCATACATTAGTACTGCTACCAACTTATCACAACGACGCAGCGGCATTGACACCCCAATCATCACATATAGCTGTGAGACATAGCGACACTGTGCGCTCTCCCAGACGCACGCACTGCTCAAACCCAGAAGTGGCAACTAAGCGACATATCCCCCCTCAATAGAACAGTCAGATGACAAACCTAACAACCGCATCAGCCCGCACACTGACTATCAACACACTATTGTTCATCGTTTTTTCTTAAATGATTTTTTTCTTAAATGTGCATTGTTTATCACGCCTTAACACTGTTTTAACATGTTACCTGGAACGCTAGCAGCTGCTGTTGGGGCACTGTGAGCAGTTTTGTACAGTTTTACCTCTGCACCAAAAATAAAGAATTAAAAAAAAAAAAAGAATGCCAAAAATTGAGGCTAAAATTGTTGTGACTATAATTGAGTAGGAGAATTTTTCTAAATTATAATGTTTGTATAGATTTTGCCATTTGAATTTCAACTTGCTACAATTAGCAGAGTTATTCACTAAATCGAGAATTCAAAGTAAATTTTACATTTAAGATCAAAATAGCCAAACTGTAAAAACAAAACACAAGTTTAATTTTAGTGCTTTAGTTACCACTTTTTATTGCTTTATTTCACCATTTTTTGGGGGTGGGGAACCACTCTGACCAAAAACAGTATTTTATTAAAACACGGTTTGGTCGAACTAACCCTTTAATACAAGGTATAAGAAACATCACTCACTGTGCAGTGAATACATCCAAGTTATGTACCTTTCTAACAGCATTTTACATATGTGTAGAACCCTTAGTAAGATATATTACATCAACATACCTGTTTATTGACGGCAAAACCAATTGATATAGCCACAAATGGAAACCTACATTTATATAAAAAAGTAATCAGTAAAGAATGAATACATTGTGACATAAATTAACAAATGTAAATTAACCGGTTACAGCACGTGCATCTACCGCAAGTATAGAAACATATTACTATGCTATATTGGTTAGCATTAGTGTTTAAATCACCTTAGTAGTTTACAGACTTTTTAGTGTTACTACCGTGAACTTATTTACATGACATGCCTAACACGTTCGCGGTGCAAGATATTGTCCTTGTTACACAAAATTAATTTTAAAAAATAACCTTGGTTGGATGCATATGTATTCACCTTGTTGCTATGAAACCCTTAAATTAGTATTGTTGCAACCATTTGCCTTCAGAAGCCACATATTTAATAGTTTTGGATAAGCTTTACTCAAATTATTTTATATTTTTGAACTAACTTCTAAAATAAATATTATGTAAAATATTTTAAGAATGATTTTGCTATTTTTTATATATATTTTTGATATTTAAAAAAAAAAATTAATTTTAAAAGTTTATAAAAAATATAAATCATTTGAAAAGTTTATCCAAGAATATTAAACTGAGGCCACAATTCTATGAATGGAATCCACTTGTATGAAATTAAATAGTGTCAAAATAAATATAACTGGTTCTGGAAAGCTCCAAAGCCTGGGTTATACAAAAAAAAAAAAATAATATCCCATAGTTTGAGCAATCCCCCCAGAGTATCATTGAATACAATATAAAATAATTGGAAAGAACAGGACACAACCTCAACTCTGCCTACAGAAGGCCATCGAACAAAACTAATTGGCCGGACATAGATTTAGTCAAAAAAGCAAGGAGTTGTAGAGATCCTTAGCCGAGATGGAAGCTGTCCATCAACATAGCAAATATTAAAACCACTGCCTCGAGAACACCAGTCGCATGGTGAAGCTTGGTATTTAAAGCATCGATTCAGAGTGATATTCAATGGCAGAAGCTGGGAAACTAGTCAAGACTAAAGAAAAATGGATGCAGCAAAATACAGGACAATTCTAAAAAGACTCTTTCAGTCTGTAGGACACCAGGCAGTGGTGCGGTGGTTCACCATCCAGCAGGGTATTGGACCTAAAAACACAGTCCAAGAAAAAGCTCAGACCTCAATCAGAGCAAGAATCTATTTAAAGACTTGGGAATTGCTGTCCACCAACTATCCCAATCTGACACAGCATGGGTAAATTGTTAAGAATTTACGGTTTCAGACGGGCAAAGCTGGTGAGAACATATCCCCCGAAGACTGTAATCTCAGCCAATGTAGTTGTGCCAGGGATTCATTCAGACATATGCTGCCAACAAATGTCTGCTGTTTTTGTTTGTTTAAATTGTTTTTGTGACACAATAAAATAAATTTTACACTTTGAAAGGGTTAGGTATGTTGACTAGTAAAATGATAATGATAACAATAAAATCAATTTAAAGGGCCACTATAGTCACCCAGACCACTTCAGGTAAATGAAGTGGTCTGGGTGCCAGGTTCCCCCTAGTTTTAACCCTGCAGCCTTTAAACATAGCAGTTTCGGATAAACTTCTATGTTTACATTGCATGGTTAATCCAGCCTCTAGTGGCTGTCTTCCTGACAGCTGCTAGAGGCGCTTCCACAACGCTCAATGCAAAAAAATCACATTGAGCACGCAGAACATCCATAGGAAAGCATTGAGTAATGCTTTCCTTTGGGCGGTTTGAATGCGCACGAGGCTCTGGCCGCGCATGCGCATTCGGCTCCACTCGGGAGCTGATGTCAGAGGGCAGGAGAGGTCACCAGTGCCGAGGGAGCCCAGCGCTGGATTAAGCTAAGTGGCTGAAAGTGTTTTTAACCCCTTTATCCCAGCGTGAGGGGGACCCTGAGGGTGGGGGGGACCTAAGGACTATATAGTGCCAGGAAAACAAGTTTTTGATCAAAAAATACAGATGGCTTTTGCATCTTTGTGTATGTAGTACTTTATATGCAATAAAAGGTATGCACTTGCTCCCTGGCTACAGAGAAGGGTCAAGATCCCACAGGGCCCTGGGCAATGTACGCGGCTGCCTAGTGTCATGTTATGGCTAATCCTGCTGTGCCTGGCTATCTGAAAACTCAGATTGGTTCCAATACAGTATTCCTCTAAATATATATAAATCAGGAAAATTGCTGCCTGTATTATATAGTGTCAGCTACATGGGCTGCTGTTTTAAACTTTACAACTAAGGAATGTGGGAGAGGTAGTTGTAGTTTGCCTTACGGCAATGGTGAAACTTTCTATAGATTTGTTCCACATACATACACACCTAGAAAACAGGCGTTTTATATAATCTCTTCTTTATGAAGTTCACTGGAACCATTGAAAAATAAAATATTGTTGTTATGGAAATACTGATCGTCAAAGCAAATATATCTGTTATATATTATGAACGTGTGTTTGTGTGCTTACTTTTTCATAATTTACATTTATTGTTCTGATGGCTTTGTAAATAATATTGTATGGAGGTTAACGGTATAAAACATGTGTTAATAGCAAACACAAAACAAAATTAAATGCAGATTAAATGTACACTTCAAATGTTTTCATTCATATTAGTTCATATTTGACCCAATAAGCATTTGGTAATTAAAGAGGCAGCTTCTGTATTTCTTAACATAATCCTACAGAATAAATTCAAAGCATATACCTGTGAACAAAATTGGTAGTACCATCAATGGGATCTACAATCCATGTTGGGCTATCTGTCAGAGTACTCCCCTTACCCGCTGCCACGGATTCTTCACCAATGAAGCTGAAACAAAATTCACATATTTAGAACATATGTACTGTAACTATAATCAGCATGCAGTTATTGCATATACAGTACAAAGACTACTGTCCCTTTAAACGATAACCAATATCATGGGATCATAAGAATTTCTGGTGACTTTTGTGGATTTCTTGATGCCCCTTCCACACACTGTGGAAAATATTGTGTCCACATATACATTTTGTATATAAACCATTAAAATGTTTCATTTAAATTATCTCACCATTATCATTTTTTCTGAAAATTAAGTTTGATGTAACACATGTCTATTGCCTTACCTATGGGATGGGTATTTCTCTTTTATTAAAGAGATTATCATTTCTTCTACTTTCTGGTCTGTGACTGTCACTAAATCTGCAGGCGAACTTTTTAGCATCACAGAGACGTCTTCCTTCAGAGCTGCACACACGACCTGACAGTGAACACAAACTATTAAAAAACAACCCGAGCAACTGGGCAGTTGCAGGAAAAGAAAATCAAGAAAAACAAAAAATGATCACAAACCTTTAAATGTTAAATTATAAAATGTACATAATTAGGACTTTATTTACCCTATGGTCACCTGTCCACTCCACTGCTCATTGCTCATATCTTACGTCAATAATGGCACCTGGACAACATGACTAAAGTTTTTCTTGCGTCAAAATTGACACAAGTCACCCTGACTTGTAAGATGAGTGGCGAGGCTCTGTCCGCCCGCACCTCCCACGCCTCACCCGTCTGTCAGTCCCTGCATTGGCTTCCTGTAAGATAGAGGGCTCAATTTAAAATTATGGTTCTTGCTTTCAAATCTCTACATAATGCTGCTCCCACCTAGCTATCCTCCCTAATACACAAGTATGTCCCGTATAGGCCTTTACACTCTGCTGAAGACTTACGTCTATCTTCTGTCCATACTCCCACCTCTGATGCTCGCCTTCAAGACTTCTCGAAGGCTGCACCGCTCCTGTGGAACTCACTTCCCTCCTCCGTTAGATGCTCACCCAGTCTCCACTCCTTCAAAAAATCATTAAAAACCCACTTCTTCATAAAAGTTTATCAGTTAAACTGTTAATAGCTCCCGACTGATTCCTCTCTTGTAACTGTCATTAGTCTAATACTATCCTTACCTTTTGTGTCACTTTACCCCACTCCCTCTAGTATGTAAACTCATTGAGCAGGGCCCTCAACCCCTCTGTTCCTGTGTGTCCAACTTGTCTGGTTACCACTAAATGTTTGTTCGTCCACCCACTGTAAAGCGCTGCGGAATTTGTTGGCGCTATATAAATAATAACATAATAATCTGGGGTCATAAATGACGTGCTTTGCTATATTCTTGCTGATCTATAGCCGACAATGACACAAGTATGGCGTCATTTCAGCGTTGCAGGCCAATGAGTTTCCTCCACTGACCTCATGTTGTCAGGAGCTTGAGTTATTTAAACTCAGTCCACCAGAGGTCCAGTGCCTTGTTGTGGTCCGTAATAGTCCGACAGTGCGTTTATACAAATTATAACAAAATTGACAAATTTTCAGGACACTCTCGGCTAACAATACAATACGGCTAATCAATTTCATGCTTTTTCAGGAGTCAACTTAGGGTTCCAAGCATGGTCATCCTTCCTTGGCAATTATCCTGAAAAACATTTTAGGCTATTCAGGGAATAGTCCATTTTTAAATTATATATTTTTTTAATCAAAATGCCTTGGATTTCATTAATAAGTTCTAATAAGTCCCAAAATCTTATTACTCAACATGACAATTGTAAATTCTATCCACACACAAACTGCATGTAGTTCTTTATGTTTTATACTATGTTTCCAATACTAGAAACAGAGGAAAACAAACAGAGATGCTGGTAATGAGATATCTCTTTGTTATGTTTTCTATTGAGTAATGTTTGAAATTTCGTAAGTTAGTGAATGGGGTCCAATCAAGAAGAAATTCAGGAAAAAGCTTATATATTGTGTATCTTAAGAGTAGGTTAGAAGTTAGGGTTAGACATCAAGAATATTAATTTCACAAACATTAAAGGAACACTGTAGGGTCAGGAACATTTATTCCTGACCCTATAGTGTTAAAACCACCATTTAGGTGGCTTGTCCCTCCTTTGCCCCCTTAGAAGAGGTTAAAACTCACTTTATGTCCACTTTGAATCAATGCATCTCTATGAGGCAAACTCAGCGTCTCCGTGCAGAGCGTGAAGATGCTGAATGGCAGTGGTGCCTACTGTGCAGCACTGCCCCAGGAAGCACCTCCAATAGCTAACTGAGGAGTGGCCACTGGAGGTGTCCTTAGGGGGCAATGTAAACACTCCCTTTTCTCTGAAAAGAAAGGGTTTACATGGAAATGCCTGAAGGGAATGATTATACTCTGCAGAACAAATACAATAAGCTGTAGTTGTTCTGGTGACTATAGTATCCCTCTAGAAAAACCAACCTGCACAAATTACTGAAAACATACAAGTTTAAAGAGTTTTTACACTATTGTAGCCTACTATTTCAATACAATAATAAGACAGTGACACTGAAACCAGTAATTCAATTGTTTTGTCTTTATAAATGTTGATCAGTTAGTATACATACGGTTCCAGCTTTCCTTGCCATCTGCACTGCAAAATCCATACATTCTTCCCAAGGGTCTGCCATGTTAACTGAGGAAAAATAAATGAACATTTTACAATTGTTGTCAGCAGTAATTGTAAGCCTGTAGATATAGTGCTCCCTATTTTTCCCTCAAGCTTTTTACTGCAACTCCACAATCTCTCGGTCCTTATTAAATAAATTTTCCATAATAATAAGATTAATCTTAAAAGTAACATTAAAAAGCAATAGGAATACAAACATGCATTCCTAAAGTTATAGTGTTACCCCATCCCCTCCCACGGTAAGGGTTAAAAGTTAGGTTTATTTACCTTTATCCCCACGCCATGCTGGTGTTGCCCGCTTCCTCAGCTGACATTATCAGACTTGATGATCTCCATCAATCCAATGTTTCTCCATAGGGAAACATCAGGGACCAAGTTTCTATGAGACCATCTGATTGAGTTTGACTCGTTATAGAGGTGGCAGCACCTCTAGTGGCTGTGAGGAAGTATTATACCTTTCCAAGTAAACATTGCTGCACTGCTCTTTCTACAAACTGGCAGTGTTTTACATGGAAGGGTTAAAAAACAGCACCACTGCACCCAGACCAGTATATTGAGATAAAGTGGCCTGGATGACTTGAGTAGTCCTTTAACACCTGTGTTTGTACATGTCAACCCATGGTGTGCACAGAAATACAAGAACAGTACAGTTGTGCAACCTGTAGTTATAGTGGGAACAGCACTGTATTTAGCGTGAGGCTGACAAGGCATTTGCTTGGGCTGCACTTTCAGGAGGCGGCAAAAAAAAGCTGTCACCCAATGCCCTGGCAGATGCCTTGTCAGCCTCTTCCTCTGGGGGGGCCCAAGAGCTGACCGGCTGGCCACCTCAGGGTCCCCCTCCCCCACGAGGTTGGCATCTGCTGATGTTGGAGGCGGGCAGCACCCCTGAGCTCTCCCTGCTCAGCTCCATCGCCTTCTAAATTGACCGTCCGCATGTCCGTCCGGCAATTAAAAAGATCCCCATGGAAATGTACAATCCACTCCAGCACTCCAGTAAAGGTATGGAGGCTGGGTGAATTGAAATAGAAAACAAACCAATTGTTAGTGTGTGTCTGTTGGTGAGAGTGTGTGTCTGTTAGTGAGTGTGTATGTGTCTGTCAAAGAGTGTCATTGAGAGCATGTGTGTTTGTCAGTGAATGTATATGTATGTCAGTGTGTGTATGTGTCGGACACTGAGAGTGTGTGTATGTGTCTGTCACTTAGAGTGTGTGACTGCCAGTGAGTGTGTATGTCTGTTAGTGAATGTGTGTGTCTGACACGGAGTGTATATGTGTCTGTCAGTGAGTGTGTATATGTCTGACACCGAGTGAGTGTGTATGTGCATCTGTTAGTGAATGCATGCCTGTCAGTAAGTGTGTGTCTATCGATGAATGTGTATGTATGTGTCCGTCAGTCAGTTTACATGTGTATCTTGTCAGTGAATGTGTGTCTGTTGTTGAATGTGAGTTTGTGTGTCAGTGAGTGTAACTGTGAGTGTGTATGTCTGTGACTGTGTGTTTCAATGAAAGTGTGTGTGACAATGACTGTATCTGTCAGTTAGTGTATGCATCAGTGAAGGTGTGTGTCTGTCAGGCAAAGAGCGTGTTGGTTTAAAACAGAAAGTGAAATTTAGAGGGAGGGAGGGCGGGCGGGCTGAGGGGGGGTTGCTTGAGTTTTGTCATACCAAACAGCAGCACAAAACCAGAATACACCACTGCAAGGGTAACAATGGCTCCAATCAAGGAACAAATAGGAACTGAGTACAAGAGGCCATGGTGAGACCTGAAGATATTTGGGAATTGGTAAATTCCACAAGAAATCTGCCTTAAAATCGGCACTGTCACTGTTTGGGGACTTTGCAGAGTTGACAAAGTTCACAGACGGTGACATCGATAGTGGGGGTGTGCGGTGGCAGTTAATTGTAGTATTTACTTACCTCAACCTGTACTTTGCAGACGTGGCCATTTTGATCCAGAAGGTCCTCTGCGGAGCTGTCATCACGGCTGTACATCCCGCGAGACCTCCATAGACACAGCCAATTTCCCTGCAGCCGTCACCAGTGACAGCTGTCGGGATTGACTCTTCGATTCCGCCCTGAGTCTAAGAAAGGATATGGCTCTGTATATTTCTTGACTGGATTGGAATCTGTATTTTTATTATAATGGTAATTGTAGAAAGGCTCCCTCTGAATACTGGGATCAGTGACTATAATATTACACGTTATTCTACTCCGGAATCTACACTTATACCAGTGACTTAAAGGACCACTATAGGCACCCAGACCAAGGGACGTTTTAGCCGCGAGGCAAACAAGGCATTTGCATTGGGTGGCATTTTTCAGGGGGCGGCAAAAAAAGCTGCCCCCAAATGCCAAGGGCAAATGTCTTGTTAGCCTTTCGGCTAACTGAAAAGCCAGGCGGGCAGCCAGCGCTGGCAAGGGAGCACTTCCCCCTGAGCTGTCTGCTCAGCTCCCTCGCGCGCCGCTTGCAGAGTGAGGCTGGGAGCCAGAATATGATGCCCGCCCAGCAGCCAGCCCATCAGCCCGACCGGCAGCCCCAGGGAGAGGGAGAACCCCCCCCAGCATTCCTAAAGGTAAGGAGGCTGGAGGGTTAAATAAAAAAAAAGTGAGTGTTAATGTGAGTGAGTGTGTTTGTCTGCTAGTGTGTGTTTGTCTGCTAGTGTGTGTGTCTGTCAGTGAGTGTGAGTGTGTTTGCCTGTTAGTGTGTGTGTGTGTTAATGAGTGTGTGTGTGTCTGTTAGTGAGTGTGTGTCTGTTAGTGAGTGAGTCTGTTAGTGAGTGAGTCTGTTAGTGAGTGAGTCTGTCTGTTAGTGAGTATGTGTTTCTGTCAGTGAATGTGTGTGTGTATTTAGAATGCGGGGCAGGGGGGAAGGGTTGGGTGGGGGTGGCGCGCATGGGGTCAGGGGGGCGTCTGAGTTTTGTCATTGAGAATGCTTTTCTATGGACTGACTGAATGCTCGCGCGGCTCTTGCCGCGCATGCGCATTCAGCCGATGATGACCGAAGGAGAGTAAGAATTTAATTGCCTTCCTCCCCCTTCACCCTGGTCGGGAGTGGGACCCTGAGGGTGGGGGACCTTTAAATGGGACACTATAGTCACCAAGATCCCTTCATCTCAATGGAAGTTTTTGAGTGACTGTCAGTGAATAACAGGTTAAAATATAAATAAAAGTAAACAGTGCGGGCACAAACGCACCCTGAAATTTTCCTCACATTATGGGTGGCAATGTGAGGATCAATGACAGATTCCTAGCTAGTGAAAAGGGGATTTAACCTTCACACAACTGCCGTCAAGCAATGAAAAATATTTTACTGAATTCAAGAAATGTTAGGAACATAATTTAAGATCTTCTCATCTAGAATGACCACAGTGCAGTACTGGGAGGGAGTGCAATTTAAGGCTATTTCACAGCGTTTCGGAGATGCTTTTATGTAGTTTGAAGAACACCAGTAAGTTTATTTAGTAATCAATGGAATGCAGCAGTTCCATGCAAGAACAGCAACATTTATGCTAAAATACCCAATATGTCACTGTTGCTGAACTGGGGATTTTCCCAAATCTGGTATTTGACCTATTTAGATGTGAATTTCACTTTGCTACCATTTTAAAGTTAGTGAGCAAACCCCGGTAGAGTTTGAATACCTTGTCCAAAAGCTTTCAATCTAAAGGGTTAGTAAATCACCTTCATTAGTGGTATTCTCTAAACCAGGCTTCCCCAAACTCCGGACCCCAGATGTTGCTGAACTACAACTCCCATGATTCTATGAATGAACTACATAGGCTGAGAATCATGGGAGTTGTAGTTCAGCAACATCTGGAGTTTGGAGAAGCCTGCTCTAAACACATATTGTAGTTAAATGAAATCCCCAAATGCTAAATTTTAAAAATAAAACAGCAAAGCTGTGACTATAGCAGAGGTAATATTTAAAAATCGGATAATGTAGCCTATAATTTGCCATTCAGCCTTTCATTCATTTCTATTTGGGGTTTGGTGCATGCAGGCTGTGGAACGTTGTGATGTCAGGGAATGTTCCATTCAAATTTACTAGAGAATAAATGATTCCAAACTGTGACATCACCAGGAGACAGATAATATGTGTGATAAATGCTCCTGATTTAACCCTTTGTGATTGAGAGGTAAGGATATCCCCTCTGCAGCTCATAAATCCTTAGAAAGCTCAGGGTTGTGACTGGACCCATAGCTCAGTAATATATATATAGAATGGCTGCTGGTTTTGTCAGAGCTGCCCACTCTTTCAGAATGATTAGTATTGAGTATAACCTGTATTCTAATACTGGCTTATCCTGAGGATATTCTGATAGTCATTGATATTAATAGAGAAAGCTGAGCAAAAAACTCACCTATAAAAATGAATTAACTGCAATAACAGGTTCTGCTTCCTTTAACCTGCTTCCTTCCTGGTAGAGGCTCTCAGCTCAGTGCAGAGCGGCTTCCTTCACACAGCGCAGACTCCCAGCCCAGCCTGCAGCGCAGACTCTCTGCTCAGACTGCACAGCTTCCTGGTACTGAGCTCAGACTCGGAATTCTGCGGTCTGGACCAATCACAGCACAGAATGCACATACACTGAGCTCTTACACTTATTACTAGCCTTATTACAGTTCCCTGGTCCTGAAACTGCTGTGTATGCATGATTCATATGCTGTCTTTTGTGCCACTGGGGTTTCTGGGCGCGGGTCTGATATGCTTGAAATACAGATAAATGTTCTTGTTCTATGTTTTCTGTACAATATGACTATACTGGTGCTCACACTAATTGTACTCTTGGTGTAAAAAATGAACATAAATATGCCTGAATTTAGTGATATTTCTATGGCTTCACTAAGAAACATTGTTCTTCTGTGCACATGGTTAAAAATAACATAGCATTCCGGGTAAGATTTTGTTTTTGTAATGTTTATTCTTTTTTATTTTCAAGATAGTTGAAATTACAAACAGTTGATTAGATACACATAACGTAGATGCAAAAAGTATCAGAATAAATATGTGCTTTAAAGGGATCCTATGGTGCCAGGAAAACAAACACGTTTTCCTTGCACTATAGGCTTCTTGAGTGCCTCCTTCCCTTGCACCCCCCCCCGCCCATGACACTGAAGGGGTTAAAACCCCTTTAGTGAATCCAGCGCCGATGTCATTCTGCGCTGGGTCAGGCCCCGCCCACGCTCCTCCCCCGACGACATCAGCCGGCGGTGGGGGGATACCTAATGCGCATGCACATTAGACCTCCCCATAGGAAAGCATTATTCAATGCTTTTCTATGGGAAAAATCTAATGCTGCAGATCCGTGAGGACGTCATATAACGGGCCAAAAGTCCAAATTATAAGGTATATAAACCTGTTAGTGGTACCCATTATTATTGCACCTGAAAAAGACCAAGAGAGTGGTCAAAACACGTTGTGCTAGTCTATACTATTTTTTTATCTCGAATAAAGAACAAATTTATATTTTATTTTGGTTCCTGAATTTTTATCCAGACGGAAATTGACTTCTGTTCCTGGGGGACCCTCATCTCTACTACAGCATCCATACTGGAGTGTCTTACATGCTACTACAGTTGAGAATCAACTTATATGACTCTCTAGATTGTGAGTGCTCCAAGTTACTCTTTTACTATACACTTTATGTATATATATTGCCCTATGATGGTCTTTTATATATTACAGATTTAAATCACTAATTAGCCATCGTGTGCACAAAACCTCCTTCTCTTGTATCCAATCGTATTTATGTAAGTGTTTTGTAGGTGACTAAAACACGGGTTTGGTTTTAGACGCACTGGGATATATCTATTGTATATATTATTCTGTTTTGAGCGCCACTTACCCATTTTTCTGTGTTTGCATATTTCTCTGTCACCAGGTGTTAAGGGCTGCTTATTTTAATATGTCACTGTTTTTTGTTTTTTTTGTAATTCTTTATTTTATTTGTGCTTGGCATGTCAAACAGGTAAACAGTGTCATTTTTCAGATATTGTAAAAACATGTTTGTGTAGCAATAACATTAAATGCCTAAGCACAGCACTTTTTTTATTATAATGTAAGATAAATGTTAACATAATGTCTGCATGGGGGGTGAACTTGCTGTCCGCTGTCATGATCAGCAGACATATAATGTGCGCAGTGTGTGGTATGGTTGCTGTTGGAGCTTTGACTGTGTGTGGGTAGGTTATGACTGTCCACGTATTGTGCTGCTGGGGGGTCAGCCTGCCTGGGCTGGCAGGTTGATGTAGTGGCTCTGCGTTAGCTTGAGGAGGGCTATTTGAGGCGTCATGCTAGCCAGGAGTGTTGCGGGTAGCCAGTCCCCGTAGCAGACAGGTGGTCTAGGGTAGAGTGTAAAGCGTTTGCGGGTGGGGGCAATAATTAGGCTATCCCAGAGGTGCCAGCCTCAGGTTTTGGGTCGTACCTGGTATCTAGTAGATGAGTGACTTCTGCTGTCGTGTGGGGCAAGTGCCCAGTTTCTGTCCTGACTATAAGTCATGGTGTGGTTGCAGCTTGGGCTTCAGTGGGTGTTCGTCAGTCTGCATAGTGTAAGCAAAATTAATGGCCGGTAGGCGGTTTGGGTAGCCGGTAGCATCCGTTAAGTATGATGGCTTTTGCTCTCTTGGGCGGAAGCAGGCGGTAGAATACTCGGCGTAGGTATTGAGGTAGCTCGGTTGTGGCCACTTCTTCTGGCACTCCCCTCAGCTTAATATTATTTTGCCTGCTTTTGTCCTCTAGATCCGCCACCTTCGCCACCAGACCCTCTTGAGCCCGGCTAGTTGTGGCTTGTGCCTCTTGCAGTGCGGTTTGTGAGGTGAGTAGGCCTGAGACTTCATCCTCTGTCATGACTCTGCCTGTGAGGGAGTGTATGTCTTCCCGGATAATCGCCAGGTCTGCTTTGAATAGGGATTGTATGTCTTTAAGTAAGGACTTGATGTCCCTTTTGGTTGCTGGTGTGTTGTCCTCTTCCTCCGAGGAAGTGTGGTTTAGGCCTCCCCTCTGAGGTAGCTCGTCGAGGATATCCATGGACGGCTCCTCTTCTGATGAGATATCCCCTGTGGCGGCGCCCATCTTGGGTGCTGCACGCGGTGCTCCCCGGAGCAGTAAGTCCCCGATATCTTGGGAGCCCCGTCCTGAGGTATGTTGGTTTTTTTGATATGTTGATTTTAACTAACAATTATTTCTGATTTGAAAATTACTTTTATCTCCAAACCCATGGAACAACTATGGGGACCAAGTTTGCCCTAAGTTACGCCAATGTATTCATGTCATATTGGGAAAGAATTTTCATATACCAGGGGCATGAATGTGGGGCAAACTTGGTCCTCTATAATAGATATAAAAGATATATAGATGATGTTTTTATGGTATGGAAAGGAACAGAGAATTAATTTAATTTATTTTTTAATCATCTTAACCATAACGAATGGGGGATTAAATTAACTAAAAATATTAGCCCCACTACCATAGATTTTTTAGATCTTAACATTTTTATCTCTAATAACCAGGTTAAAACTAAAACTTTTTTTAAACAAGTAGATATTAATAGTTTTATAGAAACGAAAAGTTGTCATTATGACCCTTGGCTACGAAATATACCCAAGGGTCAATTCTTACGTTTGAAACGCAATTGTATGGAACAATCCGATTTTAACGACCAATCGACATTTTTGAAAAAAGTATTTTTACAAAAAGGCTATAAATAGGACGCACTCTTAAATAGTCTAAAAAGTGTCGATGCTATCAAAAGATCAGACTTACTTAAATATAAAGAAAAACAAGAGACATCAAAATCTAATCAAATACCCTTTATTTTTAATTATTCAAGCAATACAGGCATTCTTGAAAAGGTCATCAACAAAAATTGGCACATTCTCCAGTGTAATTTAGTGAATAAGCCTTATTCTACTGCTTCAGAGTGAGTGTCTGTTGTTGTCTCAGTCTCTCTCTCCTTTCTTCTATAACAGCTTCAGTGTTTATCAGTCACCCCAAGCTATGTGGCAGTTTTATTTGTTATAGAGACACTATAGTCATCAAAACAATCTTAGATGAATTAAGCAGTTTTGGTGTACAGATCATGCCCCTACAATCTCACTACTCATTTCTCTGCCATTTAGGAGTTAAAGGGACACTGTAGGCACCCAGACCACTTAAACTCATTGGGTGCAATGTCCCATGTCCCCTACGCCTACAGTGGTAATTATTGCAGTTTCTGAGAAATTACAATAATTACCCTGCAGGGTTAACTCCTCCTCTAGTGGCTGTCTACCAGGCAGCCACTAGAGGGACTACCGGGTGCTTAGATGACTTTAGGTCATCTACATGACGCTCTACGTCCTCACGCTATGCATTAGGACTTCCAGTGTCACCGAAATCCCCATAGGAAAGCATTGGTAAATGCTTTCCTATGGGGAAATCCTAATGCGAGCACGGCTATTGCCACGCATTCAATTTAGGTCTCCCCTGCTGACATCAGGTAGGAGCGTGGGCAGAGCCTGACCCAGCGCTGAGGGACATCGGCGCTCAATTCGGGTAAGTGACTGAATGGGTTTTAACCCCTTCAGTGCCACGAGAGGTGGGTGCGAGGGAGAGGGGCACTGTAAGTTTCTATAGTGCCAGGAAAATGGCTTTGTTTTCCTGGCCCTATAGAATCCCTTTAAAAAAAACTTTGATTATGCAGCCCTGGTCACACCTCCCACGTGCACTGCCTTCCTAAACACATGTTTAAATTTTCTTTATTGCACATTCTGTTTAATTTAAAAAATGTTATCTCCTGAACTGTTAATAGCTTGCTAGACCCTGCAGGAGCCTCCTGTGTGTGATTAAAGTTAAATTTACAGAGCAGGAGATAAAAACTACTAAAACAAGTTAGCATCTGAGTTTAAATTACACCATTTGCTTTCATTCAGGCTGCGTGAGTCACAGCCAGGGTAGGTGTCACTAGGGCTTCATGGAAAGAAACAAAAGTGATTTAACTCTTAATTGACAGAGAATTTTACAGTGCTTCATTAAGCTAAGTTGTTTTAATGACTATAGTGTCACTTTAATTGGGGTGGACGACGGGGGTAGGCAGCTCTCCAACTATTTAGCTCTCCAACTGTTTAGAAGAACATTGTTACTGAGGTAAAACATTTTAGGAGAACATTGAAAGGTTTCAACTTGTAGTTGAAGAGCTGACACTCTGTTCTGTAAGTAATATGTTCTGGCAGCATTACAGAAATACCCAATGTCACCCCTGGCACTTGTAGGGTCTCAAGAATAATATTGTGGGAGCATCTTAATCTTTACCTTAATCTTTATTGCGTACCTTGATCCATAGTGGCCCAGTGGTTGCTATAGAGGGTGTGTGCATGTCTCTAGTGCACACACGTCTTTCTCATTGATGCCATCAAACCTTGAGTGCACCTATCCTCATTCTGCCCTGACTCCAGGTTTCTTTGCAGCAATGAAGAAGTGTGCCGTTCAGCTAACAGACCACCCGGGAGACAGACAATAGCTCTGGTACTCTTTAACAACAAACATATAATGAAAAAACTGTGGTATATGAAGATAAGGGGCACAGACCAAATGATTAAGAATTACTTTGCAAAACATACCCTCAGTCTTTTGATTTACCCTTGCATTGTCGGGGCAGCCATCTTTGGTAAGAAGCACAGCTTATCTGATCAAACACTGATCAAACTCAACAGTTTGTGTGTGTTTATGAATCCTGACATCATGTATATTTGGTATAATTTTTGCATGGGATTTGCAGTTAAGTGATGCTACTGAAAAAGGTTAATATGGTCAAACCCATATAGCATGTAAGCTAGGAGATTCATTTTAAAAAGAGTTAACATTTTAACGCTTATCAGCCACATTTAACCCCTTAAGGACCAAACATCTGGAATAAAAGGGAATCATGACGTCACACATGTCATGTTTCCTTAAGGGGTTAAACCACATGCCTAATAACATGTAGGTTCCCTTTACCTTAACAGCTCTGATGCATCGAGACATGAGTAGCAGATCCTTTCAGTCCTGCAAGTTGAGAGGTGGGGCCTCGATAGATTGGATTTTTTGTGCCAGCCTTAAGGACGCTCAATCAGATTGAGATCTGGGGACTCTGGAAGCCAAAGACACACCGTAAACTCTCTGACATGTTCCTCAAACCATTACTGAACAATTTTTGCAGGGTGATAGTATGCCTTATCCTGCTGAAAGTGGCCTGGGCCTGAAATGATCTCTAGATAGGTGGTACATGTTAAAGTAACATCCACAGGAATGCCAGGACCCAAGGATTCCCATAAGATCATAACACTGGCCTCTGCCAGCCTGCCTTCTTCCCATAGTGCTGCCATCCCTTCCCCAGGTAAACGATGCGCCCACACCCAGCCATCCACCTGATCTAACAGAAAAGATGATTCATCAAACCAGGCAACCTTCTTCTATTGCTCCATGGTTCAGTTCTGATACTTTCATCCACATTGAAGGTGCTTTCAGATGTGGACAGGGGTCATCATGGGCACTCTAAATGGTCTAAGGTTACGCGGCCTATACGCAGCAATTGCGAGGCACTGTATTTTCTGACACTTTTGTATCATGGCTAGCATTAAGTTGTTCAGCAATTTGAGCTACAGTAGTTCTTCTGTGTGATTGGACCAGAGAGGCTAGCCTTTGCTCCCCACGTGCATCAATGAGCCTGATGCAGGCTCACTGCTTGTCCTTGTACTTCTTTTGGTAGGTACTAACCACTGCATACTGGGAACACTCCACAAGACTAGGTGTTTTGAAGATGCTGTGACCCAGTCGTCTAGCCATCACCATTTGACCCTTCTCAACATCACTCAGATCTTTTCGCTTGGCCAATATTCCTGCTTCCAGCACATGAAATTTAAGAACTGACTGTTCACTTGCTGCTTAATATTTTCCAACCGTTGACAGGTGCCATGTAACAACATAATCAATGGTATTCACTTCAACTTTCAGTGGTTTTAATGTTGTGTCTGATCAATGTATATTACAAAATAATGCACATTGAAGCTTTAATATATGTAGAAACATACAAATTTAAGCCCTGCTCTCAAACTGTCACTATTCCTGGGCAGCAGCAATGACTTTTGGAACACATCAGCCCCAATACATACAATAAAAATCAAAACAAAAGTTACTTGCCCACTTTCGCCTTTCTTAATCATCTATCCTATTTAGAGTGACATTTTGCATCTTTAAATTTTATGCAAATCCATGAAACAGCAGTTATGTCAAAGTCAGTTATACAACTTATTATTCAAGAGTCAAGCTATTTCTGTAACATTCAATATGTGTTTGTGCAGTGTAACGATGTTTGATCATATTTATAAATGGCAGGCTATACTAAATGTGAGCTTTCACGGTCCCAATGGTATACCAAAGGCAATGTTCAGACAGAAATGACTTATGTGCTTAGATTTATGAAGGCTTTGGAGGCTTTTTATAGACTTGTGCGTACGGAGAAACCACAAACCACACAGAAGCTATGATTACTGACAAAATAACTATCTTTACTGAAAAATATTGTGCTAAAAGGTAGCAGCTGCTCCACTGCAAACACTGTATGTCAAAAATTCCATCTACATTTTAATATTTTTTTTTCTTCTTCTAAAGGCAAAAGGTAAAAATCCATCACTGGCAAGGCATTTTTTTTTGTTTTTGAATTTTGCATTTTTATTATGGCATATGTGTGATGGGGTACAGAATAGAAAGAGGAGGCATTTTGGGGTAACACAAGTTACTGATTACAAGATGGTATGTAATACACTCCTAAGAAAGACTGCCATATTTTTGTTTTTAAACGTCAAGTAAAGTAACATAGAGTACAGTAAAGTAGAGTGAAATAGGGTAGAGGATTGCCTAAAGCAATACAACAGGATTAGCAGGGCAGTGCTGAGGCAGTGTCAATGACAGTGTGATTGGCATAGATACCCTGTACTGGTTGTTATTGCAGGCTAGGATAGAACGATTACTTAGTTTCTTATTATTTAAATACAGGCTAGGACCAGGCTACGGCATATAAAAACTGAACAGAGGCGAAGTAATAGGGTTCTGTCAGTGTTAATTGCATCATCAGGCTAGGTTTAGCAAGTAACTCGATTAATATGAGATGGAGCCTATACATCAACATTGCGCCTTGCCATATGTGGTGCTTCAGTAGTTAAGCAGTTAGTTACAAGCGCTTTCTGGACCCAGATCAACTAGCTATGCCTCCCACCTCCCAAGATAAAGACACAACAGTATTAGTTAGTTAAGTGCAGATCCCCATATTCCTGACTAGTAGCTGGTTAAAACGACAGCGTTACTAAGCACCCCCTTTAAGTTGTCAGTCTCTTATATTTAGACAATGTTTTATGCTTGCCGCTGGTATTCAAGGTTGCTCCGGTAGGAGTAGTAGTGGGGACGCCGGATTATCCAGTGGGTTGTGGAGCATTGTTGTGCCCATTCGCTTGTAGCCTTGTGGATGTTGTCCGCCCGTTCTGCTGTTGCATTTGGGGCTCAATGCCGGTAAGAGGGTAAAGTAGCGTTGTCGCATGTAGGTCATATGAGTCTCTGCATTATCGGTGCCCCCTGTGAGTTTATTGCAGTCCAGATGTAGGTTGGTCATTAGTTGGCCACGCGGTCTCACCAGGGGTGGCTGTGAGTGGTTAGCCTTTCTTTGCTTGGGTGCTTTGCTTGGTCGCTATAGTAGTGGCTTGTTGCTTGCCATAATAGACGTCGGACCAGCTTGTTCCCGGAGGTCTCATGGCTCCCTTCGAGCTCGGGGAGAAGGCATGCCCTCCCTCTGGCCTCGCGCACTTCTATCAGCCGCCATTTTAGTTGAGGCATTTGAGGCTGGATGGTAATGATGCTGGCCCTGGGTTGCACTGTTTCAGTCTGGGTCCCAGGGTGCGGACCGGGATCACCCCCACCGGTCCGGGGAACAGGGCCAGATCCACACGGTTGCCGTCCTCTGTTTGGCAGGATAGTGGAGCAGCGGCCGTCCGCCCCACTCACCGCCGGAGTAGGCTCCAATTAGGGCATCAATGGTCTCTCCTCCTGGGGACTGTAGCTCGGGTAGCCAGCCTCACCTTGGATCCAGTGTCCCCTGTACACTGAGGACAGGCGCTGGTGGTCCTTGGTATGGTTAAAAATCGTCGTTTTGCGGCTATTTAGTTAGTAGTTTGTAGGAGCTGAGCTGCCATGCTGCCTTCCAGCTCGGCGGTCCGGCCCCACCCCCACTGGCAAGGCATTTTAATTTAAAATTCAGGCTCACATCAGATCAGATGTCTTCAATGCTAAATATAACAGCGGACATTTTTAAATAATGCAAAGGAGCAGGTCTGGACTTTTATAAAGATCTATATATAAGGAACATGCAAATTCTCAAACATCAGAATGAATGCAGAAAAGAATTCAAAGAGTTTAACGAATCAACAAAATCATTCATCTGAGCAAACTGTAGATTAATGCATCCTACCAAATAATATAAACTAGAAAATTCCAATTTTGTTTTATCCAGTATTAATAAATATGTTTTCCATCTTGCAAAGTAGCATATTTACTATTGTTTATGTTTGGTTGCAGTGCTCATGAAAGAATAGCTCCTCCGGCGCCTTTAGTACGCATGTCTTTAATTTAACGTGCCAGTTGTGTGTTTTCCCTTACACACATTAATAAGGACTGTACTGCATTAGGGGTTAAGGGTTATCTCATTGTGCCAAGTGGGAACCCTGACATCATTGGCTCCTGGTTAAAACTATAGTCACTTTCATTATTGTTGCACCTTTGCAGTATTCATTTCTCAGTCTTCCAGTGTTCTGGTTTTATTGCAGAGTCATTGCTGTCCCCCCAACCCCACTGTGTGTCTCTTTCTCCCCATCCCCTCTGCCTGTATCTTTCTCCCCCCAACCCGTGTGTATATTTTCTCTCTCATCCCCCTATGTCTCTTCACCCACAACCTTCTGAGTGTCACTTTCCCCAGCCCATTTGTGTGTTTTTCTCTCCTTCAACAGCCCATCTGAGTATCGCTTCCCTCCAGCCCCTCTTTATATCTCTTATCCCCCAGCCATTTTTGTTTTTCTCTTTCAGTGAGTGTGGTATGATTGTAGCGGGTAAGAGGATTAGGAGGGGTAAGTGTGGTTGGGTGGAGGTGACAGTGTGTGTGGGGGATGACAGTGTGGAGGGGGGGTGAGAGTGTGTGGGGGATGACAGTGTGTGTGCGTGTGGGGGGATGACAGTGTATGGGAGGGTGACAGAGTGTGTGTGGGAGGGTAACAGTGTATGTGGGAGGGTGACAGTGTGTGGGGAGGGTAATAGTGTGTGTGGGGAGGGTGAAAGTGTGTGTGGGAGAGTGACAGTGTTTGTAGGAGAGTGACTGTGTGTGTGTGGAGGGATATTATGTGGGAGGTGACATGTGTGGCAGGGTGACAGTGTGTGGGAAAGATGACAGTGTACGTGTGGGGAGGGTGATAATGTGTGGGGGATGACAGTGTGTGTGTGTGTGTGCAGTAGGTGATAGTGTGTATGGGGGTAGAGCTCAAGATCATGTGGTGGAGGTTTCATGAGCTCCAGCATTTGAAGTGTCAGACCGTTGCCGTGGTAACCACGGCAAAACTATGATTGGCCGGACATCGCAAGACACCTATTTCACAGTCTGCAACTCTGCACGTGGTTGAGCTTTACACCGGAGGCACTGGGTTGTCTCCCCCCCCCCATCAGACTGAGTGCAGGGCACCCAGGAAAGCCATTAGTCCCCCTTTCTGCAACAGGCCCTTGGTCACGGACCGAGGTCCCGACGGATCAGTCTGCCCTAAGGTAAGTTAAGCAGCTGCTAGGGCCATGAGAGCGCATGGCTTTAGGCGACCACCTTACTTGCCTTATTAGTGAGCCGTCTCTGATCTAGGTTAATGAAAGCCCTATAGCATAATACAGAAAGATGGCATTTATATCTTATACTAGAGAGAAAGCATTGCATTATTTTACTTCTGTCTCATGGAGAAATATTGCCACCAGTCAGAGATTCTGTCACCCGAGGAATGTATTCTGCCTATTTTTGTCACCAGTACTATTGTTCCTTATGGGTATGTCTGGGGAGTTACTTTTCTTTTTACAAAAGTGTTTCTTTGTAGAACAGGTGTGTTTTTTTCCTCAATGTATGTAAGATGTATGACTCACTGTTTTTTGTGTGACATGAGACTGTATGTTTTAGCCAGTTGATGTTTAAGGTAGAAGTATTTAGCTTATGATGCAACTTGTTATCGGTAACAAACATGAGTGGTATTGTACTGTACTAAATGTATGTGTTTTAATATTACAATGCATCCCCCTGAAAGATTTGTATTTTATAAAGATAGAATCGTTGTGAAATACTCATACTGACTGAAATTCCAACCTAGTCAAGATATATACAGAGACAAAGTAGGGACTAGGGACTACTTTGTCTCTGTGTTTCTCCTCCGCTTGACTTTTCTTGACACAAGGCAGAGTCCAACTGTCAATCCATGCAATCGTAATCAGTGACTGCTGTGTCTATGTGGGATCCCCTATAAATCTCAATGCTGTAGCAGAGCAAAGGAGGACCATGCAGAACCAAGATGGTGGCGCCCGAGAGGGACAGGTTCAGGTCCTCCTCTGGAATGGCAGGTAAAGGTGAGTTCTACTTACCTGAATCTGTCCCTCATGGGCACCTAAAGTCTTGACACTTCTAGATGGCAATAGCTCCGCTCAGTGTGTACAAGTGTCTTCAAGTATCAGGCGTTGGTGAAATTCCAAAACCGTCAAAAAAAAAAATGTGATAATGCTGCTATAACACAATAGAGCTAAAGGAAGCACCTTGCTTCTTGAGGTAAGTTGTCAAAGTATTTTAAATGGTTTGACCACATATATTGGGGCAGACAGGGCACCATAAGCTACAGTGAGCTAGATCTAAATGAATTAAGAAATCGCAATAATGTTTTAGTTGGAATATCCCCCCAAAAATTACCTCTATTCTGTATAAGCCAAGGTTAAGCTGAGCAACCAGTTATAAACTGAGCCATCCAATGCAAGGTACAAGCCACATATTTACTCATCAAGTACACCATATCATTTAGTACACCATGAGTTGATGAATGGATCCCAGAGGTTGCAATTTTCACATATTCACTAAACAAATCCTACATAATTCCGGGTAATGTATATTTGGTTGGATCCCTCTCCAACAGCTTCTTTACGAGACTTGAAAACAAGTAACTCAGTTCAGAATTGCTTAGAATGACTGAGGTGGCTTTTCCTGTTTCATATTATTAATACGATTAAATATTTATCTGATCTATGCTATTACAGGTTGTCAAACCTGTAATTTATAAATCTCCCCAAATTAGAAAAGATCTCACATGTTTTTTTTTTAAATAAAATAACATTCTATTCACAAATTATTTCCCTAATTTTCTTTAAATAAATATTCCCTAATTAAATAAGATTTCCCTAATTGTTTTTAAATAAAATAACAAATTATCACACATTGAAACATTTTTTTGTTAATTAAAACTCTAAAATGAAGAAATTTTTAGAATGATGATTATACCACGGGATCGTGGCTCTAACCATATACCTAAATGTTATGGAATTATAAAAAAAAATGTTTCCTGTCCTTCTGTCTAAAGGTTTAAGTAATCTGTACATAAGCATATCTTTTTCTAAAAACAGGAGGAAGCTTTCTAATGCAAACACACAGTTATATATAATCTTTCAAATTACTTGGACACAAATAAACAATATCAATAAAATAGAGAAACCATCAATGATACAACTACTTGCAAATTGGTTCATTAAACTTAAGTGTAATAATTCAGTGGAGTGGAACAATGGAATGGAATTTTTAGCATTTCAGAATATAGTCATGAATACATTGTACACAAGCTTAGCAGTAAGAAATAAAATCAATACTTTTAGATAGCATTCAATAAATGTTTTTTAAAACAATTGAAAGCATGATACTGCACAATGTACTGACATTACCGCTGAATATAAAACATTTATATATATATAGTGCAATTCAGGCTTTCTAACTGGTTTCATTTTTATTTGGAAAATCTAAAATTAATTGAATAACAACTAATTGAATTTAATGTCTCTATTTTTAGAAAATGTAATACATGACATAGTTGTTACAAAATATATTCTGATCATCCTCTAGACCAGGGGTAGGCAACCTTCGGCACTCCAGATGTTGTGGACTACATCTCCCACAGTGCTCTTACAGCTATAATGCTGGCGAAGCATCAAGGGAGGTGTAGTCCAAAACATCTGCCTATCCCTGCTCTAGACCATGGGTCCTCAAAACTCCGGCCCCCCAGATGTTGCTGAACTACAACTCCTATGATTCTTTGAATTACATAGCTAGGCAGAGAATCATGTAGTTCAGCAACATCTGGGGGGCCGGAGTTTAATACCCATGCTCTAGACTGTAAGCTCATTTGAGCAGGGTCCTCTTCAACTTATTTTTCTTATTTTAAGTTTTTGTAATTGTCTCATTTATTGTCATTTATCTCCCCCTCTGATAATATTGTAAAGCGCTATGGAATATGCTGGCGCTATATAAATACCAATAATAATATTAATAATAATATTCTAAGCATTAAAATAGAAAATAGAGAGAAATAAATAAATATCAATAGAAATATAGAAATTCCCATAATAAAATTTTGCCATCTCTTTAGTTCTCTTTGCAAATGAATGTTAACACATTTTCACTTACTTGTCTCAATAGTGGGTAATAAAATTCCATACAGTATGGGAAATTTAGAACAGAGTTTTCATAATATTCTAAATTTTCATTTCACATTAAAGTGTATGTGAATAAAAAAAATATATATATATTTTGTCCACATATTTTGCAATGCACAGCCACTTACAGTATAGTAACTCAACTCCTGGGTAAATGTATGGATTATAACACCCTTTCTTTTGACACCTTTTTGAGTAACATATTTATATATATATATATAGTAGCACATTAACGTTGTTATAACATATTATAAAATATGTATATTTGTAGTAACAACAAATAGGAAATTAATGTATTTAGATCTATAGCCTATACTCGTTAGATAAGCATATCTAATGTAACTTAACAGCATTTTAGTGAGTTGTCATTTAACTTACAAAATTAGTCAAAAACATCTGAGCTAAATAAAAGTCTGCTCATTTCAAAAGATGTATATAATGGTTTTGTATTCTAAAGAACAAAAATAGCACACAGCAACACTAGGTTATTTCTTTGATCCCTACTTAAATATCTTTACGCCCATGGGTACATTACAGGAATGCTGACACTGAAAAACCCCCATGCCTTAGAATGTGCACAGAAATAGTAGATCTGTTTTAAAGAAAGTATACACAGTCAGTAGAATTAAAATAGAAAATGTAAAAATGTACATTTCATGCGCTCAATTTTACTTGCCCCCTGAAAGATGTATGGACATGTAAACACTATAAATGGCCTGTAAACACATTCACAAAATAGACAAAGACAAATGTATACACATTCCAGCAGGACTCAGAATTTCACCCCTGCATGGTATAGTATGGCTTGCAGTGGCAAGTTACTTTTAAGGTCGGGCTAGTAGCATAATAGACTACAAATCATATTCCGTGCACTCAGGTATTGTATAAAAACACATTATAAAGTTTGTATGTACAATTGTTATTTTTGGGAATCATTAAAACATCTCTAACCCAGTCTGTACCATGGAAGACAAGTTAAGCTCTCACTCTGCTCTAAAGACTAAACATGGTGAAAGTCTCTTCCAATTAATCTTCAATATATACATATGTGTTATGTTTAAAAGCGAGTATTTTAGATAATAATAAAACTATGCAATTGTTTCCAGTTTGTTGTACTCTCCTCCTGGTCTCACGTGGAGCTGGACAGATTCATTTTCATTCTCTGGTTTTCTAAAACTGGCCTGCAATCGTAGCTTGAGCTCCGGGTCTGGGCAGAATAGGTATTCGTAGACAAAACTGGCAAGAACTCCACCCATCATTGGACCAATCCAGTATATCTGGTGACAAAGACAGAGAATATTTAAAACATAGATAATCCATATTGCAGACAAGTAGGCAGTTGCTTTCCATAGGGAAAAAAGAATAATTAGGGGTACACCAGCTCTCAAATGCCTGTTAACTGTAAAACTATTATTCACTTCAGTTAGAAAAATGTAGTCAATCCTGTTTTCAGTTTGTCTATTTTGGCCTTAAATCTGAAATTTAATTAGAATTTATGGCTTTTCTCACTTTGCATAACCCTGTAAGCGCTATTAGATTTCACTTGTTTTTCTCAGTGGGGAAAGAGGCTGAATCGCTAGGAATATTCTTGGACAGTACCTCATAATTAGTGATGTTCACGAACGGTTCGCCACGAATGGTTCGCCGCGGACTCATCATTGAGTAAACTTTGACCCTGTACCTCACAGTCAGCAGACACATTCCAGCCAATCAGCAGCAGACCCTCCCTCCCAGACCCTTCCCACCTCCTGGACAGCATCCATTTTACATACATTGTGAAGCAGCATTCTTAGTGAGCTGTCCAGGAGGTGGGAGGGTCTGCTGCTGATTGGCTGGAATGTGTCTGCTGACTGTGAGGTACAGGGTCAAAGTTTACTCAATGATGAGCCCGTGGCGAACCGTTCGTGAACTGTTCAGCCAACAGTTCGGGACATCACTACTCATAATTAAAGAAAATTGTTAAAGAAAATTGATAAAGAAGCTGCAGCTGCATTTGCGAAATGCGTAGGTGCATTACTTATTTTCAATATAATAACAGCTAAATTATTTCAAATTATTTATTATAACCTGTGCATAAAAATTTCATAAAAATCTCAGTTGGTTGGCTAGTCAAACCAGTTTTTTTCAACGCTATCTACAGGAAGTGTCTATGCTAACTCTACACAGTGACATTCTTTCTCCTTTCTCCTCGAGCAAAGCAGGTTAAATCATGAGCCAAGATATTAAAGATTACCATATACATTAATGGGTTTTCTTATGAAAATTGTTGTGGCGAAACCGGCCTCGCCACGTGTCCTTGGAGGGGGCTGCTTGCCCGCCTCTTGCCTTTGGACTATGGACCAGACTTTATGTGAATGTGTTAACCCAGATAGCTATACCATGGAGCCCATTCGTGTAGTTAAAGACTTCGGCTCCATGGCAATTGAACTGTGTGAATAGGATCTGAGCGCTATTCTGTATTTTTTTGCGCTCAGATCCCAGCTATCTGGGGATATGTGACATGTCTGTGTTTTATGTATAAAATGTGACTTTGTGTATTTTATAATATTTTAATGCTTTGTGCTCACCATGTGCATAATGGAGTCTTGTGTCTGTCCTGGGAGATAATTGAATTACTTCTCAATTCAATCTCCAGGATAGAAGACTCTGAAACTGGTTTGGGCAGGAAAGCCATGCTTCATTTAGTCACAAAGGACTTTCCCTTAACTTTTGAACCCCTGGTCTGATTCGTGCCATTTTTTAATATGTTGTTCCCCTGAATGGATTGATTATGAAAATGTATGTTTTATGTTTGTGACATGTATATTTTAGAAGTTATAAATATTGTGTAAAAACTGTATTCCTCTGCCGGTGATAATGAGATTACCCATTGTGTTCAGTAATCATATCACAGGCAGAGGGGAGGAGTTTGTGTGGGAGTGTCTGGGTGTATTGTACGGATTGATTGGTTGTTTTGTAACGCCCTGTGGGCTGTACTATGTTTGTGGATTGGGAATAAAAGAGACTGTATGTGACAGTATAGTGAGTTCCTGTTTTAACCCTCAAAGTGAAGTGTCGTCTCATTATTAGGGGAAGGATTTATTGTATGCTGTTCCAGTTTGACTGCTAGGAGAGTAAACCTATTCTTATGGTTCCTATTCAACTGTCTACAGCATTCATATGCTAGAGATGATTGATATGCTTCTCCGGTTCGGTGGTTGTGGTGTCTGCTGCAGTGCTTGGAGTCCTCAGGAAGCGCTAGGAGCATCCTTTAACGGAGGTACCCAGTCGGGGTGCCAGGCGATCCGTTACAATATACATATATTAATTCTACATATATATTTATGTAATATTTTTACATAATTAGGTATCTTAATTAATTACAATTAGCAGG